CCAACGGCTACTTAACGGCTCTTTTTGAACTGCTATTTATCAATCTATATATATAACACTTCACTTTATATATTAACACTCATTCCAATATATTACAATATATTCTCATCTAGAAAAAAAAATATTTCATCTATTGTTTATAATTACCATTATATATACGCTTTAGAAATTTTCACGATGTTGTATCATACTGCTGAATTTATATTTTATATATTAAGTCTTTTTCTAATGTGTTTCTTATTAGCTGTTCTGATCGGTTTGAATAATGTATGATTGTATTTGTAATTTTCTTAAATCTGAGCATTGATGTTGTATTTATTTGTCATTGCCTTTTAGAATAAGAAATCCTTTATTTTTCCTTACTATTGCCATGGCATTTGCTCTTATTTTAACTTAAGAGATGCTCATTAAACATCTCATCTATCACCTTCTCAAATTATCGAGAAACAAGATAAAAAATCACAAATAGCTCATATCTCTGTCGGATTTTTTTTTTTTCTTTTAACATGGAATTTCCAACCATGATTTGCTGGGGACACTTACCACATATGAAAAAGGCATTACTCATTGGCCGGCTGTGGTCCCACAGCCGTTACCTTCTTAGTTATATATATAAGAGAATAGATATATAGTTCGATATATTAAAGGTTTGAGTTTTGGCTATGTAAAACCTTGCTCGTTTCAGAACTCAATAAAATTCGAACAATCTCAATCCAACTCTTATACACCCCTAAGCTTAACTTACTTGTGATTTAGACAAGAAGGGATAGCTCAGTTGGTACCATCTTTCACTTGTGACCAATAAGTCACGAGTTCCAATCCCTCAAAAAGGTAAGTGAAGAACCACTATTGATATTTTTTAAAAAGAAAAAAAAAAAACTTACCCGTGATTTTTTTGTTAACCAATTGGATGGAAATATATATTATATGCTTTGCTTTTTCTTAAATTAAACATAATATGTTTGTATATGTAGTGATGGTTTCGCACATGGTTTTTTTTTTTTCCAACGACATAAACGATTTTATTAAAACAACGCCAAAAGGCAATATACAATGGCAAGCCCGGAACCCAGAAAAATGAGAGGTTACAAACACCCAATGCAACCTAGACGAAACACAACTAGCAAACGCTAGAAAGACAACCACACAACGACACTAAAACAAACAACTAACCACAACAAAAATACAACTCCCAACAGGAGAATACCCGAGTGTGATCCCAACAGGATAATAAAGTTACACTCGGGTAAACCGGGGCCAACGGCCCAAACCTAAAACACTCGAACAGACACAAAAAACAAACAACCAAAACAACAAAACACGAATAACAGAAACCAAACATAAACACACAACGAAGCCCTTCCCTAGTGAACCAAAAACGAGCTCAGCCAGCAGTGAACGATCGACACAAGAGAGATACCGAGCCCGAGCAGTCGCTACTGAAACTGCAGAATGCCTAGCAGTAGGTAAAGCCGAGCTCCGAACCAATTCCCGAATCGACCCGTCGCAAACCGAGCAAGCCACATCCAACCCCCACCCCCCACGCCGGCCCAGCCAGCCCTTATCAAACACCACTCGATGAGGTCGAAAGAGACCAGCACCACACCACCTAACACCACTAGATAGAGAGGGGGAGGTGAAAGTGAACGGACCCTCAACCCCGAACACCGCGACAAACCAGCCGCAGCCACCGGAGTCCCACCCCGCCCCTTAACTCACACACCCACCAACACCACCACAGACCACCAACAACCAGAAAGCCGAGCCCCACCTGAGAGGCGGAACTCCACCCGAAAGCAGAGCACATCAATCGAAGACAAGGAGTGTCGAACGGCTTACCACCATAAGTTGGACCTCCACCAGCGACTGAGGACCCCAATCGCAGACGAAAATCCAACCGAGAAGGACTATACCGCCACTCAAGATCCCATCTGCAATCTATAGCCAGGTCTCCAAATCCGGCCATTCGTGGGGCGTCGGAGTCGCATGTCGTCAAAGGGGTAGAGGGGCGGTCCACGACGTCCTCTGGCCGGTACTACGCTGTCACCAGGGAAGGCCAATTGGTCGGATTTTAGAAGAGCCTCTCGGATTTGGGGGAAGGGTTTTTGTCGCGAGACTTAATTGATCGCACATGGTTTTAATGTTTCCAATTGTGATCAATATATTTTTATTTTATATCTGTTTACTTGTATTGTTTTACGTACATTGGATGCTACCTAAAACTAGGCCATAATATAATAATTTAAGTATTTTTTTAGTCAAAGTTATATAAGACGGGGTGTTACAGTTTGGTATCAGAGCGCGGTTAGCGTTTCTGTAGATCTTTTAAAACAAAAGTCGATACTTTTAACCTGCAACACTGTTCTAAAAATTGGCCTAGGCGGCCGCCAAAGCGCTAGGCGGTGCCCGGGCGCCTCTGATTTGCACAAATCGGCAGAAAAAATCAGCCAGGCGACTAGCTGACGCTTAGGCGGGCCTAGGCGGCCCTAGGCGCTCTTAGACGGGCTCGGCGGCCAGGCGGTTAAGCGGCATCTAGGCAGACCTAGGCGCTTCTAGGTAGACTCGGCGGCAATTTTTCAGTTTGTTTTTTAAATACTAATTATATTATTTTGTTCTCATTTTTTTTTAATATATTAATATTATTATTTGGACTTTGGTGTGTGAATTTATTATAAGTGAAATAATTTTATTTTGTAGTTAGTTAAAACTAGTAATCAACCTGTGGATTTGTACAAAAAAAGAATACTTTAAAAAGATAACAATATTAAAAAAAACAAAAATAAATCATAATTTAATTCATAAAAAAATATAAATTAAGAAAATAATTCCCAAAATTAATTTTGATCAAGTAATTGCTATGGAAGAGCCGTTACAACTATTTTTTTTATGCTAATACAACCGCCCTTTTCATGAGTGGTGGCTTAAAATTTGAGTACAGTTTTGTAACTCCCTTGATTAGTTTATGCTCATAATTTAAGACATTCAAGCAAGTTATATTGTAACCTAAAAATGAAATTGAATGCTGAAAATTTTGGAGGGAGAATAAAATTTAATGCATGATAATAAAATTAAATGTTTTGTTACTCCTCTTTATATATATAGATAAATAAAAAATAAAGGATTTAATATTGATTTCTGGGCCCCGATTAGGCCCCGCCTAAACGCTCTAGGCGCTAGGCGCTGGTCGAACGCCTAGCGGGCGTCTAGCGAATTTTAGAACACTGACCTGCAGAATCATATATTTCAAATCGATTATCTCACATTATTTTCTGTATATAGTGAACGCTTTGAAAAGGATCACCAAATTTACGCCAACCACCACTAGCTCTAATTGGTTTTCCTTTGACAAATTCATCAACCTATCAAAAGGTCCGAAACAGAAACTCCGTACATTGAACATCGACCAGAACTTAAGAGAGAGATGTTAAACAAACCCAGACACGTGTACCTCGTCTTATTTCAACTTCTTTCTCTCAAACAAACAAACAAAAGACTAAATAATCTATATATATTGAAAAAGAGAGATAGATAAATCAAATGGGGAAAGTTTTAAAAAACTTGTAGTCAACCAATTTGACCTACTTAATATGGTAACCATTTTAAACATCCGAAAAATCATTCACGCGCTAATGTGAAAAAAATCATTCCATATCAATTGTGGAATTTGCACGCTTTTGTAGTCCCTATTCACACGCTTTTGAGATATGGCAACCATTTTAAATCTTCGCAAAAAAACAATTGTGAGGATTTTTTGCCAAAAATCATTCCATATCTTTTGCCAAAATAGTTCACGGAATTAATCGTGGTGGATCTCGAATCTCATCGCAAAATCGGAAAAAATACAGAGATACTGCACGAACTATTCAATTTGTGCACCGTAGATACGGATCCGTCGGCTGTGGAGGCCGGCTTGTCCGCTCTACTAGCGATCTCGACCACCAGGCCGGTGAAGAAGGAGCTGATCTGGCTCGGCATAGTCCGAACCGTAGGGACGCATCGACGCAGGAGAGAGCGGCGTCGGTCAACGGTTTGACCAAAGTACTACTGGTTATGCAGAGCGGTTGTAGCTCGGGGACGAGGCAGATGTGCGTGGAATTGGTGAAGGTGCTGAGGGCGAAAAGTGGAGGTCCAATCTGGCGCCGTTCGAGACAAGGACCACTCACATGCGCCTTATTAAATTCACTCTTAAATGTTAGTATTAATTTCATCATTATTTCTGTATTTAGGATCTTTTTTTTTTTCAAAAGTTAATGTCATCTCTTTTGTTTGATTAATTCGTTTTACTGAATTTGTGATATTCGGGTGTTGGAATGCCCAGGAATCCCGGAAGATCAACATTTGATTTCTTCCGGAAAACAGCTTGACGGTGGTTGGACTCTTGCCGATTACAACATTCTGAAAGGTTCCATCTTACTTTCTATTTTCTTATTATCTTTTTTGGCGTTTTAATGTTTCTAGTTTTATGATCCGAATCGACTTATAATGGATTAGAAAGATAGCAAAAGACATATTACAACATTCATAAAGTGTTATTTTTTTTTTTTCCTACAATTCCAATTTCTATTAGAGATTTATTGTGACAAACTAATTAAGAATAAAATTGCAGAATTTACTTTGTATTTGGTTTTGAGGCTTAGGGGTGGTAGCAGGGGCTATGATGAATATTATAAAAACCTCCGATCTTCTTAAAGAATTGGCTTGGAAATACATTCTCAACAAGCAAATTTGCCGCAAGTGAGTTTATAATTCCCTACTTTTGATTTTTTTCATTACTATTATGAAAGTTCAATTTATTGAACCCCTCAGCACATTTGTTTTGTGTTTTTAAAATGTTTTCTTTAATGACAAATACATATATTGAACTTTTAGCTTTTGTTTGGTGAAAACATCTTTTATTTTAACTTAATAATATATTAGATTCTTACAGAATTTGCAGGAAATTCATTTTTTTGGGAGGGAGAAAAATCCGAGTAGCTTTCATCGGGCCGGCGGTCGGCTTCTACTCCATGATTCGAGGCTTTTCCTTCATCTGGAAGGTGATTGATCGATGCCCTTTTCATGAATTATTTTTCGCTCTTTATTTTTTCGATTTTCAAATGGATCCGCGGAAAATTGTTGGCTTCTACTCCATGATTCGAGACTTATCATAAGTATGATGGCAGGTAAGCACATATATATTCTCACTATAAATAACATTTTGTTTTCAACTTTATGGTTTCTTGCACTTAAGCTGCAAAATACCCTTGAAGGTTAGTTTATTCCAGTGTGATTATCTTCTCTACTCATGTGAAATATTTGATAATTATTCACTAATGTATGTGTAGATTCAAGGATATATTCCAAGAAGTTTATGAATCAAACTATAAATTGAAGTTGAGGAAGCAAGAATCTGGCATTTCTACCGACATTACAAAAAAACGGCATTTTAGTAAGCTGCAAATAATATTAAGTTGTTTTGAACTCTCTCCTAGGACTTTTCAAATGTTATAATCTTTTACGCGACAAGATTTTACATTTTTTATTTGAGAAGTTGTATGACTTTTTTCTTTTCAAGTTACAAGCAGTCGCCTTCCTACCCGTTATTATTGACGACTTTTTTATACAATAACATAGGGCCCTGTAACACACCTCTGTTTGTCAATTAGACTGTAACTGATTGAATTATAATATAGTTTAGATATTTGCATTCTATATGAGTTCATATGGATTATCTAATTTCCGAGGATGTACCCATTCTCCCGAAGTTATGGGATTATTGAATTCTACATTGTGCATGCTTCAGTTAATTAATAATATTTGGTCTTGACTTCTTATGCAAACTTTGATTTTTTTTTTTTGTTTTTTTGGTAGTATACAACTGCCCTTTACCTTGGAATTTAGTTTTTTAAGTGAATTGTTCTTCTTCTAGACTGCTACTCATAATTTCACGACATTGTTATGATTGTTCAGAAGATAATGTACTAATGTGATGTAGTTTTTAAGTAGTTTGATGTTTCTTTATATAATCATATGTAGTTTTCATAAGGTGAAACAAGGTCTGACATTTACCACTTGCGCTAGAATTCCATGATTCACATTTGATTTTGTTTATTATTTTATACAATTGTGGCAATTTATGAATATTGGATTGTTTAACTTTCTAATTTTTTAGCTTAACTTATGCCTTCACGAGTGCATGAACATATTCAAACTGAGCTTTTAGCTTCTAAGTCTATTAGAGGCCTAATATTATTTGTCCTTAGAGTTTTCTTGGAGAGAGGACTTCGGCGTTGGGATCAGATCGATTCTTCTCTCATGCTGGAGACGTACCAGGCCTGTGTTAGTCTCCAGAGCCTGCTGATGATACCTTTGTCCTGCTACAGTCTTACGCACACGTGTTTCAAAAAATGTGTCGAGCACAAGTATGTGTTACCGAATGCAGAGTACATATCATTTCTTGAAGTTTGATATTGTGTATTGCTTAGTTTTTGAGATGTTGCAGTTTGTATCATTTATGAATGTTTATGATTAGAATCACTTTAAACATGTAATCAAAGGGAATTGAATTTTCCTATTTTTACATACACAAAGAATTCGAACTAAACATGGGTGAAAACAACTGCATTGATAGATGTGTTTCAAAGTATTGGCAGGCGTAGTTGGCTTTTGCGATTCTTTTGGTGTTTAGGAATTATGCGAATCCATGCTTGTGAACATATCCTTTATATATTATGAGAGTTCATGTGGTATAACTTACTCATTTATAATTTTATTGTAGCACATCCAGAATCTAATGTCTGCACAAACTCTTTTTTATGTATTGGAAAATATGTGCCGACTATTATAGACAACATTTTAAACAAACTACATTTTAAACCCAAAGTATTTTAAAAAAAGGCTCAATCACTTTTTACCAACTATAGATTCGAAAATCAATTAAAAATTATTTACCAAATGAGATACATAAGACAAAGGTAAAAAATAAGAACACTATTACAACAATATAGAAATAGTCATATCAAACACCAACATTCTCAAACCAAAGGATATGCAAGTCTACCCGACTTTGTACAATTATATAATATAAACGTAGATGTTGCCCTTTGGAACATACATTACGTTTCCGCATTGAAAATTATTAATTTATCTGACAAGTAACTATCCATTATAAAATACCAGGAAAGATCATCATTTGTGGATGACCAACCACACAATTATCAAGTTTGTAAGGTATGACTTTAATTGCTAGATAATTGGTGTCTGTGTTGGGCCGTTTCAAATCAACATTTGTGTTTTGCTCTCACATGGAAACATTTATGAAGAGCTTGAGAAGAAAGATAAAGTATAGCGTAAAAGAACAACAAAGTACGTGGAGCCTTTCTTGCCCATTCTCTCCACACCATTATGCAATTGATGATAAATCAAATTAATTTTTACTGTAAGTAAAAATAATTTTCTTCAAATCTTCATGTGCCAACCTGCACAGTAATGTAAAAATATTATATTTACACGCAATTTCAACATCCAATAAATTAAACACATTAAAAAAGCATGCATCCATCTATAAATAAGTATAAACAACTTATGTGCATGATCTAATAGATGTGATTTTTATTCTAACAATTAAATATATTATTAATAAGTAATAAGGCTTATAAAAAATATATTCAAAATATTCTTTTCATTTAATATTCTATGTAGAATCAAATTGTAAATATGCTAATTAGAAAATGTTATTATGAGTTATAAAAATCAATTGGATTCCTATTGGACGTAATTTTTATAAAATATGCTATACATTTACGAAGAATGCTACCATCCCGTTACGGGATGGTTCCGTTGTAGTGAAGGGCTATGTTAGCTCCGAGGCTGAAGCCCGGTTCATGGAGTTAGAATAGAAGTTAAAGAGGGTATTTATGCTCGTCGTGTCCTTTATATGGACATCAGAGGCCGCGGGTCTATTCCGAACGAAGCGAAGTGAAGTCACCTTGGAGAGAGGCATCCTCTCCCCAACGAACGAAGCAAAGCGAAGTGAAGTCATAGAAGCTTCGCTTCGTCAATACTTTTTGGAAAATCATTAGATATTAATATGTTAGAGACCTGTGACTGGATTGATGAAATAGTATCTCTCCCCCCAAAAGAAAGCTCACTGGGCGGAGAACCATGGGAGAGCTAAGCCCTACCCCTACTGATAGGGGACGAAAGATAGGTGCCCTGGATAAAACTTAGAAAACACAACGGAACCATCCCGTAACGGGATAGTAGCATTCTCCTATATTTACTAAAACCGTGTGGGCAATAAAATCGCAAATCTGTTGCCAACTATAGTCAAAGCTAATCTATTCGATATAAAAAAATGTGAATTGTTCTTCAAAATTTATGAGGTAATGGAGAGAATACAGAAGTGGGTTATGAGCAAACCCTAAAAAATCGAATAAATTCGCATTTTATAGATCCCAAAAATTATTCCACCGTTCCATTCGCATTTTAAAGAGTTGTAATTAGTTAATTATTTAACTTATATTAGTAATAAATACTATCAAATTGTTGAGTTATTATTTAATATTATTTAACATCACACTATCATTAATAAAAACTTATATGTGTGTAGATTATCTAATTTCCAGAACATTGACTATTCTATGGAATTGTGCAATGAGACACAATTAGATATGACCAAACTCTCCACTCATGTGCTCGAATACAAAATATTGATAGGAGATCAAGCTGACAAGAAGGTGTCGATTCTTAGAAAGAATATAACTCCTTCCGATCTTAGGGTTGCATTTAAGTTCCAGCGGTGACAGTTTCCACTTATAGTTTCGTATGTCATGACCATAAACAAAGGTCACTGTCGCGCATTTTCATGTTCTTGTAGAAACCTGTTTTTAGTCACGACCAATTATGTTGTTTCGCGTGTAACTAATAGAAATGACTTCAAATATTAGTCTATTTGAACGACGTATATAATGATGTATTTAATAATAATTATTTTTGGTGATGAACATTTTATAATTGAACAATTTCCCTACGATTATAACACTTTATCTATTAATACACTTTCACTTATAATATTCCCTAAATAAATACAGCTCGTGCATCGCACGGGCTACGTACTAGTAAACAATAATAAGACGATAAGGAGAGATGACATAAATTACAAGTTAATAGAAATTTTAATGCACCATGATTGAAGCAAACCAACAACCATCATCACACCAGTCCCTCATCAAGTAGTGAGTATGGGAGGAAGATACCCCGATTTAGTCCCCAGCACTCGTGCTTTCGTATCCGGGAAAAACTCGAACCCCGGGAGCACCCCAATCTCGCCATTGCTCGACACATGAAGGGGATAGCTAAGAAGATGGCCCGGAAGATCCTCCTCAAACGTGTCGCTCGAGTACAAGTTCCAATTCTCGTCGGCAATTGCATTCACAGTCCGCACGCACTCAAGGCTCCCTGGATCAAGAAACGTGTCATCCTCGCGTAAAAGGTGCTCGCTCCATAGGGCCATTCGGAGGCCGAATATTTGACCCCTGGCTGCATTGTTGCTGGCCAGGTGGCCTGGCTGGAACCCACCCATTGCAATCTCCGAGTCCCTTGCACCGTCCATCGATCTTTGATTGATGTTGGCTGACCCGATGATTATGTATTCGTCATCCACTTACAGTTACACCAGACCCAACATGTTAATAATAATAATAATAATAATAATAATAATAATAATAATAATAAGATTTTTAAAGGAAAAAGTAGTCATGATTTAGGCATTGCCTAAATCATCATTTTGGAATGAACATATATCATAAATGCTTAATAATCCATATGCGTGTGCTCACCGATCATCATTTTGGAATGAACATATATCATAAATCGTCTTGACTGTTGAGCTCGATGGTAGTCCGTATCCAGATCAGGCCTAGCCGGCGGCTCATACTCTCCTGTCTTCTTAACCTCCCTATTGCCAAGGCAGAAAAAGGTGAGATACTCCCTGAGATCCACTCCCTGAAGCCCCTTCTCACCCAACGCCTTTGCAATATCGGCATACATCATCTCCATCGTCCTCCTCTGCCACTCGAGGATCGCCTGAACCGAGCCGCTCTCCGGTATCCCCTCCGGCCACATCGGGATCACAACGTACACCGTGAACCTCTCCCCTGCACGTATCTTACTAGCAATCTTGAGCGACAGCTCCTTGGGCACCAGGTGCAGTGCGTTTATGTCCTCGATCGTGATGCTGTCACCAGCCTTTCTCCTCCAGTCGAAGGAGCTCCCTATGAAATACTGATTCTCAATATATATGAAGTTCCTCGCCCGGCGAATCGCATGGATGTATGCATCCTGTATGCTCCGGTCAATCACGTTGTCCTTCCCGCTCACGAGCCCCAACGCCGATGCCTCCTCAGGTTTCTCTGGGAATCCGGCGGCAGCCCCACCGTCGATCGATCGGAATATCTGGACGCACCACCTCTCAGGGTCGTCTGGGGAGATAGCTTCTTCCGGGCGGACAATAAACCTGTCGAGCTCGTTCATTGAGAATATGAACTTGTTGCCCACCTGCTTGACCCACCTTTGCTCGAAATTGTAGAGCACGTCCCAGGCAGCGGGCCCCTCGACCCTGCAGTGGATGTCGTGCCACGGCTCCCTCGGCCCGCCCTTAGCAACGGACGAGCCCGGGAAGTTTGGCTGATGGAAATCGTCCCGGTGGACCGTATCCAACGTCCGGAAAAGGGAGTGATCCCTCGTGTCGTAACGCCCGTCGCAAAGGTCGATCCCACCCAAGAAACTGACGATGCGCCTCTTCGTCCCTCCCGAGGAGGCCCGTTGGCTGTCGACCACGATCGTCTTCTGATGATGAGTGAACATGGTCGAAACCTCGAATCCCTGCAAGATGCTGGCCCCACCATCCGGATTACGAGGGCACAGCACGCACCGCACCCTCGTGCCGTCGAAAAACGCCTTTGTCTCCTGATCATGGGTCGCCATTAGGCCGTCTTTCTTGAAATCCGGAACGGACGTGCGGTCGTCCCACACGAGCATCAACACGTTCACCCCTTCGTTCGCCTTCTTTATCAGTAAGTCGCCGAGAGTCACATCGAGGCTCCTCCTCTGCGGGTCCCGCACCAGGGTGATCCTCGTGTACACAGACCAGCCGGTTATGTATATCAAGTGCTTGGCATTGGTGATGGCGTCGAATATATCCTCCCAGCATCTACCCGGCTTGTAATACCCCTCCGACTCAAGATATTTCGTGATGCTGTCGTCCGGCACGTGCGCGTCCGGGTAGAGGGTGGCCCGACCGCCGGGCCTCTGCCTGAAGAAGGTGTAAGGCACGCCGGCAAAGGATGGGGCCTTGAGGCCTCCCGACCAGTTGGTTTCTTGAGTGACCCTGACGTACAGCAGTTTGACGTGGATCTTGGAGCTTTCGTGGATGGGATTGCGGTCCTCGTCTAGGATGTCCATCCACCTGTCCACCATGTGGCCACCCAAGATTTGTTCCACCGGCAGGTAGGCCCGCCCGATCAAGGTGGCTCCGATCGGGTTGTCGTCTTTCACGGTGAAGACGATGCTGGAGACGGTGTGAGCACAGTATATGTGAAATTCTTCGTACCAACGGGGATTGGATGGCTCGTTTTGGATAACTCGTGTTCTGCCGACTCGGGCCCTTTCTAGGTCGATGGTTGCATACAGCCGCGAGGAGCCGACCACCTGCCTCCCACGTTTACATGTATGTATTCATCACCATGATTATAAGCAGTTACAAATAAGGAGTATTTATTTAGGTGTAAGAAGAGACACAAGGCTTTACTTTCAAAAAGACCAGTTTAATTAGTTACACACAGCAGCATCAGCATGAAAGGGGAATAATATTTGTATTTAAATACAACGCTAGCTCAAGTTAACTTATGTAATTGGCCATCTGGTAAAATATTATGATAGATCAACATGTACCTCAGGGCGGCAGAGCACAAATCTCTTGACTTGTGATAAGAATTTTTTGCTCCTGTTTTGTGGATGGCAACCAGCCTTGAAAGCCGAGGACCATAACGAGAAAACACCAAAACAAAGCGCTACCGGTTGGTTAATATCTATCTTGTTTTTCTATCTTTTTATCTATGTGACACATAGCATGTTCTTATAGACGACGACAACAACAAAAATAATAATAATATCAAGTTTTTAGTTGTATAGTAATCATTACTCAGTGATAAGAAAATAGTATACCGTGCTGCATAAACCAAAATTGAATCCACCCTGTAATTCGTCGGCTTCGTATATAGTTACATGTAACGTCCCGTGAAGCAAATGTGGAGCCATTTCTTACCTGACAAGCAATTGGAAGAAAATGCGGAACGAAATTTAATAAAAAAAAAATGCTTTGGATAGTACAATGTTAACACCACCAAACACACATAGACACACACACTGCAGGACGATTATCAATCGTTTTCCTCACCCTTACACACTATAAAAGTCGACGAGATGCGAGCAGTGAGCCTCAAATTTGGGATGAACTTGGTAAAAGATAATAGATGAAGAAACTTTTTGATGGATTAGAAGACATGTTGTGGGTTAGGGAGAGATATAGCGCTGTTGAAGAATATTCTAAAGATTGACCTTTACAGGAAGCAAGACATATCTTGCAATTTGAGTTTGAGACTTGCTGCATTGCACTCATTCATGCATGTTTGTTAACTTCAACACAATATATACTGCTGCTGCATTGCTGGGTTTCATCAGCCTTGTGACTCAGGAAATGGATTGCACAAAACAGGGCATATTGTATGAATGAGGGACAAGGTAGTAATAAACTAACAAATGGACTAGGAATTTGACATGGGATAACTTGCAAGTCTAATCTAATGGGATCAGTTGTTGAGGGGTAATTATTATTATTATTATTATTATTATTAATTTTTTAAATCAATTCTATTAATTAAAAGTTTTTTTTGTTCAGGTTGCAAACTAGAATCGGCGGATCTAGTTCCGGAACTCCATTTTGAGGATGTGGGAGTCGACTCCACACCATGTCTAGCTCAACCAGGGGAAACTTTTTCGACAAATAAAAAAAAGAAAGAAAGAACCAAAGAAAGAGGGGAAAAAAGAACAAATAATAGTTGTGCTTTTGGAACAGATTCAAAGTTTTCCTGGACAAAAATAAGGTGGTCCTGCAGAATATATGCAAAAATAAAGGATGGCTTGCATTGTGTTCCCATGCTTAAAAGAGGGAATAATAACAATACAATAATAATAATGAACACAAATACATTCTCATTTCATTCCCACTTGCATACATAAAAATGTTTTATTTATAATAAGATATGGATGAAGATTTTCAATTCTTATGCCTGATTGCTTGTGTAGTTGCAAGCTTTCTGTGGTATTTATGATTATCAAACTTTATTCCAATGCCATTTTTATTCAAACCACTTATTTTATGATACAATATTATTTGCTCCTCACTCGAGTTCACAAAATATGTATCAGATCCGAAGAGAAGAGCCTCATGTCGAGTTAAGATAAGAGACAAATATAGCATTGTTAAATATTGACAATTCCCAGCAAAGTGAGGGGTCTCATTGCAAATAAGCGGAACCCCAATAGGCAATAACCACAAACGATCAACCCAAAGGAATATAAATAAATATGATGTTCTCTTCGGATATTCGCATATTCCCATCTTCATCAATCCTTCCGAATATTCCTTTCTTCCATTTTCTCGATTCCACATTTACAGACATGCATATATATATGTACAGGGCACACTGCAAATCTCCTTCTACTCCTACCCACATACACAAAGATGAAGTTTTGGAAGATTCTGAGGAAATTGCTCGATGAGATGTTCCCCGATTGGCAAGACAAGTTCATATCCTACAAAGATTTGAAGAAGGAGCTTAATTCCATCTCTCCCATGGATGAATCTGCGAGAAGTGTTGTGGATGAAGGCGGCGAGAGGCCGACCAAGATGCGCAGACTGTTGGGAGATGATCAGTCGGGCGAATGGAACGTGACCAAGGAGATGAAAGATTTCGTGAAACTTTTAGAAGCAGAGATTAAGAAATTTAATGGGTTTTTCATGGATCAAGAGGAAGAGTATATCATCAAATTAAAGGTGCCTTTTTTTTCATTATTGAGTTTGAGAAGTTTGGGATTTTGTTACCTGCGATTTTCCCTTTACGCGGTCGGAGTATCAGTGCAGGATTAGCGTATTCAATTGAAAAGCTGGTTAATTGGTTGTGAAATAGACTGTTGCATTTTGCTTTCTAGCAGAATAATCTTCGTTTACTGTGATACTTTCTGTTTTTAGATGAGTAATGGGATTAAATACATTTGATAGCCCTTCTATAGTTATTTGCAACCTACAAAGTTTTAGTTTCCAATTTTGGATATGAAGGTTGAAATGTAGCCTTAAAGCACGTGTCTGATGAGCTGCAAGTTTAATTAGCTTTGAGCAACTTGTGTTAGAATGTTGACAGAACCTGGGCTAACTATGGTTTGCTCAAGGATACGTAAAAGAAAAATAAAATGAGTAGTGCTATTTTGTGGACGCTCTGTTTGGTCATAGTGTAGATATCAGTAATTTGGCTATAAATTGGCACCCCCTGGCTAGCAAATTCACTTGAGGTGATTTAGCTAACAATTGGTACCAACCATTCTCTTGTTTTTTCTGTTCTTTCCTTTCTTGTTCTTATTGTATTGCGTGTCTATTTTCTGGTTGAATGTAGTTGCTGAAGGATGATATTGCTGAGGCAGATAATTCGAAAGAAGAGCTGATGAAAGTAGGAAGGAAACTCGTAGATTTTCACGGGGAAATGATCTTGTTGGAGAATTACAGTGCTCTTAACTATACAGGTGTCTACTCTATAACTATAAGCTATTCATATGGTAAATGTGAGTTGCAACACATTAACAGCATTTTTTTTTAACTTACTATTAATTTATAGTTTCTTCGCTTCCTGATTTTTGCTCGGCCTGTATGGCACAAAATTTGACATTTAAATTGTAGTAGGTGTTGTTACCCGTTCTTTAAATAGAAAGGAAGGAAGTGATGTTGTGGTTTGTCCCTGTCAAACAGAATAGAACAGATGTTTATCTGAAAGAACTCCCCTATTGATGGCAGTTACATATTAATTTTCATCCTTGCTCTTTCATTGAATTAATTTTTGCCGTGCACTGATTAGTTTGTGTTGTGCTTAAAATTGTCTAATTTGGACCAGTTAACTAATCCAGAAACTGAACGCTTCTTGGCCTTTGCTTGAACAGGTTTACTGAAGATTTTAAAGAAGTATGATAAGAAAAGCGGCGACCTGATTCGACTGCCTTTCATCCAGAAGGTTCTGCACGAGCCATTTTTCAGGACCGAGGTTCTGAACAAACTAGTAAAGGAGTGTGAGATGATGATCAATCGCATCTTCTCACGGCACGAGCAGTTGGGCCCACGAGAAGCTGCTTACAGTGACCAGCCAGTGGAGAAGGATTCTCAAAAACTCAGAGTTCCAGAAGAGCTTTCAGAAATTGAATGCATGGAGAACATGTATTTAAGGCTAACGGTATCGGCCTTGAGGACTCTCAAGGAACTTAGAAAGGGAAGCTCCACCGTTAGCATGTTCTCTTTGCCGCCAATGCAAGGCACTGAGTTTGATGATTTTGGGAAGTTTAGTCCGGCCATAAACCAAGTAGCTCGATGAATTGTGGAGTTAAAGCCGGCTTCCAATTGCTTGGTCTTTTAGATTTTTGGGTAAATTAGATTGTAACAGATGTGCCACAGAACTATATCTGATCAGATGTTGTGAAAAACAGGAAAAAAGTTTTGCTTTTGCCCATTAGATTGTACTTTAATAATGTAATGTTATTGACAAGTTGCAAAATGTGGTGCCAGAACAGAACATCTGATGTTTTTTGCAGCAACTTTGGTGTATATTGTTAGGACTATGTGTACTTTCTTTTTTACTTTCATGAAGTATTTGATTGGATTTTTGCCATTCGAATAACACCAAAAAGTACCATTTCCACATATATATTTGTCTAACTTCTTACGAAATGATCACATTATGTCCAAAAAAGTGTACTGCATTGTACCAAAAAAATAAGTTTAATGGATTGAATCTTTTTCTTTTTGCTCGATCTTCTTCATTTGTTTGAAAGATGTCACCTTTTTGTTGTATGCAAGACCAGCAGAAATGTATACAATTCTTCCTGTATCCGAACTTAAAATGAAGTTAAAGCTCCTGAAACCATAATATCATCGGTAGAAAGTTATTTACAGTGGTGACAAATGCCACGTAACTCAAATGCAATTAAAAGTCTCATCTTACAATTGAGAAAGGAAAATCCACTTCGTTTAGGGGTTGTTTGGTTGGGGGGAAATGGAGTGGAGGGGAGGGGAGGGGATGTGAGGGATTTATTTATTTATTTTTTGTTTGGTTAGTAAGTTAAAAGGAGAGGGGTCCTCCCCTCCCCTAATTTTGCTCCCCTCCAAAATGGAGAATTTGGAGGAAGGGAAAATTTTGCAACATAAAATGATTTTTTTATATTTATTATGTGAAATATTTTATTTTTTTATTTTTTATATCATTAATAGTATGATTTTTTTATATTTATTATGTGAAATATTTTATTTTTTTATTTTTTATATCATTAATAGTGTAACTGTCATTTTACAATATTTTTTTTCCCCTCCATTTTTCTAACCAAAAAAAGTTTACTATTTTTCTTCCACTTCTCTCCTACAAAATTTCTTCAAGGTAAAATTATTTTTAAACCACCTCCCATCCCATCCACTTCCTTCCATTAAAATTTCTCTCCTCCGTTACAACCAAACATACCCTTATAGTTTTGAAGTTGCCGAATTTTACATGAACTAGTACAGTACCCGTGCGATGCACGAGGCTTTATTATTTTCGTCCTTTTTAAAAAATAATTTTGAATTGAAATTCAAATTATATAATAAATTACAACAAAAGAGGTATATTGGGACACATTTATTTGGGATGCTTTTCATTATGTATCCTATTATCTATTGATTTTGAGAGCAAAATAAAAATAAATAAAAAGAACATAAATAAAAGATTGACCGAAAAAAAAAGCGGGGTTAAGCGGGAAAGAAAAAATAATACACGCGCTAAGAGAGTGTTTTTGGGGCAAGAGAAAAGAACGCCATAACATAATTTCTCCCAAAGTTGTTTCAAACGAAATTAGCCTTCACCCTAAATCTCAACCAAAATCTCATCCTCTTAGATATCTATCGAGGAGCCATCTAATTCTAGCCGAAATATTCGTCCACCGCATCCAATTGTTTATTGCAAGCAACCAAATTTCTGGGTCGCGAAGGTCAAGAGGTCGTGCGACAGTAAACTACAACTTCTATTCTGCGAGCAACCACCGGAAAGATCCTGACGGAGTCTACCATTCCGACGGTGCTGGGAACTTTCAATTATTGAAATTTTGAGGTATGCTGGGCTTCAACTCTCTAACTACGTGAATTATGTGAAATACAAGCTTAATAATGTGTTTAACCAGTCCGCTTATGTTTGAATTTGAATTGTGTAGCGGGGTTAGCGGGGTTTTCTCACGGAAACTTGTGTTCATGTAAAATTTTACCCAATTTTATTTGGAAATCAATTATCTTGTTTAGTTTGTGGATCAATTATTGAAGATTTTAAATAGTTGATGCAGTATCTTGTACAATACTCCAATAAACCTTACATAAAGCTGAGATTTGATTTTCTTAAGTCATATTGATGATGTAATTAATCTTCACTTATCACTCAGACAATATTCATGATGCTACCAATAGTAAGCAATTAGGAACTTCCTCTGTAAAATCATGTTTATATACTTATATGATAATTGATTGCTCTACTGATGACCATTTGATTTCTTATTTAAACTATTTCATTAAAGTCTTAGCTGTATGGTAGGTTTGAGTTTGTTACGTAAATTGTTAGGGCCTTATAATAGTACAGAAAAATACCGGGCAATTTATTTTTAAAAAAATTAAAAAAAAAATGGACAAAAATAAAATAAAAAAAAATCAGTAGCCCAAAATCAAATACACGTATTCTCAGAATACGTTTTAATAATTAGATTTTATTTAAAAAATGTATTCTTAGAATACGTGTTATAATTAATTTTATTTTAAAAAATAAAAAATTATAAAAGTTATAATGTGTTTTTAAAAAAATAATAATAAATAAAACGTAGTTTTATAATACGTTTTATATTTTAAAATTAATGAAAAAAAAATAATATTTAGTATGTATTTTGTGTTTCGAGCTTGTTTGGGATCGTTTGAACTCGGAATTGAGTTTCGTTTATTCCTATACGTAGCTAACGACCCCCTCTATTCAATGATGCTTCCATGACCAAATTATTCTTGAAATATCTTGACCGACGGAACATTCGAAATCTCCTCTTCTCGCTTATTTTGCTACTATTCCCACGGGAATTCAAGTTTCTCTAATTAAATGCTCGAAACTCCGAAATACTCGATAAATGCCCTGCATGACATCGTGCCTGAATTATCTACACGCCCTAACTCGATTCTCGGTAAACTGAAGTCACACGCGACCTTGCGGGACCCACGTAAACGGCCTTTTTATTTATTTTACTAATATGCACCCTCGAACTCGAGCTTCTCTAAATAAATGATCGGGACCTCGAAATAATAAATCGACGCCATAACCAGTTTTTCCTCTTCTCTTGCTTTCTCGAAAGCACTTTTCGTTAATGCTCGACTCGCTTATCGAGGCCCGACGGAACACCCGAAGTCTCCTCTTCTCGCTTATTTTGCTTCTATTCCCACGAGAATTCAAGTTTCTCTAATTAAATGCTCGGAACTCCGAAATACTCGATAAATGTCCCGTATGGCATCGTGCCTGAATTATCTACACGCCCCAACTCGATTCTCGGTAAACCGAAGTCACACGTGACCTTGCGGGACCCACGTAAACGGCTTTTTTAATTTATTTTACTAATATGCACCCTCAAACTCGAGCTTCTCTAAATAAATGATCGGGACCTCGAATAATAAATCGATGCCATAAACGGCTTCTCCTCTTCTCGTGCTTTCTCGAAAGCACTTTTCGTTAATGCTCGACTCGCTTATCGAGGCCCGACGGAACACCCGAAGTCTCTTCTTCTCGCTTATTTTGCTACTATTCCCACGGGAATTCAAGTTCTCTAATTAAATGCTCGGAACTCCGAAATGCTCGATAAATGCCCCGCATGACATCGTGCCTGAATTATCTACACGCCCCAACTCGATTCTCCGTAAACCGAAGTCACACGTGACCTTGCGAGACCCACGTAAACGGCTTTTTCATTTATTTTACTAATATGCACCATCGAACTCGAGCTTCTCTAAGTAAATGATCGTGACCTCGAAATAATAAATCGATGCCATAAACGGCTTCTCCTCTTCTCGTGCTTTCTCGAAAGCACTTTTCGTTAATGCTCGACTCACTTATCGAGGCCCGACGGAACACTCGAAGTCTCCTCTTCTCGCTTATTTTGTTACTATTCCGACAGGAATTAAAGTTTCTCTAATTAAATGCTCGGAACTCCGAAATGCTCGATAAATGCCCCGCATTACATCGTGCCTGAATTATCTACACGCCCCAACTCGATTCTCGGTAAACCGAAGTCACACGCGACCTTGCGGGACTCACGTAAACGGTTTTTTCATTTCTTTTACTAATATGCACCCTCGAACTCGAACTTCTTTAAATAAATGATTGGGACCTCGAAATAATAAATCGACGCCATTGTTTTCTCAAAAGCACTTTTTGTTAGTGCTCGACTCGCTTATCGAGGCCCAACGGAACACCCGAAGTCGCCTCATTAAATAAGCTAATATATAGCGAAAAATGAAGAAAATTAAATATAAATAATTAATTTTTTCTATAAAACGTATTACCATAATATGTTTTACAATTAATTAATTGCAAAACGTATTACCGTATACGTTTTACAAATAAATATAAATTATAAAATTAATTTAATTTGTAAAATGTATTTTTGAAATACGTTTTACAATTAAATGTAAATTATAAAATTAGTTTTATTTATTAAACGTATTATTGAAATACGTTTTAAAATTAAAACGTATTCCGAGAATACGTTTTACAATAAAGGACCTTTTGATTTTGGTCCATATTTTAATTTTTCTTTTTTTTTTGTCCACTTATTTTTTTTAATTTTTATTTAAAGAAAAAAATCGAAAAAAACCTATTTTAGTAATTTCAATAAAGGAATTGTAAGTTTGATGAAAATACGTTCAAGTTGGCACTAAATGCTGTAGACATAAGAACATGAAAATTTACACGGCTCCATAATTTTTTCATCGGCCACTTACTAATTCAAGAAATGAACATGGTAAAACAAAAGTAAGCTCTATATGACACGGTTCTCTCTATTCGAGCAAATTTCGATCCTTGAAGTAGACTTATTTTGATTGGTTTTCAAGTACATGTTTGATTCACAATGTCATTACTTGTTTATCATCAGTTCATTTTTCATGAGAATAACAATATAAAGTTATTTGCTTTTCGTGAAACAAAACTCTGTTGAACATGGCTTTAAAGCCTTTTACTTCTGTCATGGTTTTTAGCTGTGCTCTGGAATATAGTAAGTCTACATAATGATTAAACTTACAGTGTTAAGTTGAGTCCAAATATAATTTTCATGATCAAATCATAAGCAGTTACTGCTAATGCATCATAAAATGGCCCGGTAAACTTTTCATGTATTCACTAACTATAAGAATGTACCACATTACATTTGCTCCATGCAAGACATCCTTTAACTCTAAAAAACAGTAAAAATGGAAGGAAAAAATGATTTTTACTTTTTTATAGAAGTTAAATATAAATGGGGACCTAGTACATTTTTGTGGTGAATATAGAAAATAAATGGGGACCTTATAATGTTTTGATAGAAAAAAATTGAACTAGTATTATCATTACTTCAGTATGCTTTCTAGCTTCCACATTAGCCTTAAGGATTATGTATTACGAAAAGATTAAATTTAAAAACAATTAGATGATATGGGGCATGCATAATAGGTTCTTGATATAGTACAAAGAGCTCTTACATATCATTATCAGTGCTGGTGATTTATCAAGGTTTTATGAATAGAGAACTAAAATTATGGATGCACATGGAAACAACAATTCTGTAACAAAAAAATTAAATAAATAAATAAAATAAAATAAACAACTTGAAGTCTGTTACAAATTTACCCCAGCTTGATGTTGTTTGATATGGTTTGAGTTCATCTAGCTTAATCATGTGTTCTTAATCTCGAGTAGTGCCTAGACCACACTTCTTTTCTCCGGCTGATTATTGTCAACGAATAAGATGAATCTTTTTTTTTTTTTTTGTTTCTTTTTTTTATCAACTTCCCAATTAATTCCTTTTTTATTCAAGTGATTTATGTGTGTCGCTTCTTTTCTCCGGCTGATTATTGTCGACGAATAAGATGAATCTTTTCTTTTTTGTCCGCTCGCAACCTGTTTCTTTTTTTATCAACTTCCCAACTAATTCCTTTTTTATTTAAGTGATTTATGTGTGCCGAAGGCACTCAGGGAATCGTCAATTGTAGAAGCTAAAACCGATTTGGAAACGCCAGGGGAGGCATGAAATAGGGAAAAAAATCGGGAGAAAATTAAATGAGATTCTCGCTTAAAAGGTTCATTCCTTCTTGCTTTAATTTCATTTTTCTTCTTCCGTAATTTTTCTGTCTGGGAAAAACGTGCACGGAGACTTGAACAAAAATACCAGAAGACATGGAAAAACTGGCAGAATTTCTGGCTTAGAGGCAAACCTGAAAATATCGCCAAGATCATATAGTGGTTTGTAAAAATAAAATAGTTTATATGGTAAGTTTGAAAAATGTTATAATAGTTTGGGGGGTTAATAGTTTTTTCCCTACATAAATGTAAACTCCAAATTTTTATTGTGTCACTTTTTAACTTTTGTGTTCTTACTCCAGGAAATTTTTGCTTAAATTTCATAGAAGTTAAAATCAGTATGATTTCATAGCTTGATAATTATTTCTCCTTTCCTTGTTCAGTGAATGAAATAGAATTAAAATCAAACAAAAATGTTTGAAGGATTGGTGAGGCAGTTGATACTGGGATATCTGGATTAACACATTAAAGACATCCAAAAGGAGCAGCTTAAAGTCACTCTTTGAAATGGTAAATGGTTTTTCTTTGTTCTCTCTTCTTTCACATTTCTACATTTCTACAGTTGCATACCATTTCTTTCTCCATTTTAAGTATTTCAGTGATTGTGGATATGTGATCACCATTATACATGAGTCAATTGTAGTTAAATATGTTGTCAAAAGTGTTTTTATTTATTTTTGTTTTTGTTTTTTCTGACTTGTGGTTGCAGAGGAAGTGTTACTGGAAAATGTGGAGCTGATTCTTGAAGCCTTTGACTACCTCCAGTTGCCATTTACTTTTCGAAAAGGTAGAAACCTTTGTGCTTTTCGATGTTTATGTTAAATTCAACACCTTATTTACAATGAAGCTTCTAGATATACCAAGAAATTGGAGTTGCATAGATATTTTGAAAACTTAGAATATTAAATAAATTAGAAGTGTCATGATAGTTCTTGACTTGTGAAGCAACTCTTATGTCGGTTAAGTCACCGACTTTATTGTACTATAAATAGACATTAAAGTTATAATGTTATAAATAGACATTAAAGTTATAATGTGGAGTGTGTCCAATGAGTGGTTTGTGAGAGTGTGTAGGAAAATATTGAGTGTATTATAATAAAATAATTAGTGTATTTTTGGTCTTAATAAATAAAGTATTTATCTTGGTCTATATTGTATTGGTGTAATTACTTTGTTAATATAATAAAGTAATTACGTTAGTGTCCACGTGTTGCGAGTGTACTCAACCTAACAAGTGGTATCAGAGCCAGACGAGTTAGGTCTGGTGTTGTTGAGGTACGAGTTGTTGTGTCGAGCTTCTTGATGGTAGTTTTGCAAGTTCGTTCGTGTGCAGTTTAGTACTGCAGAGTGTGTAGTCAGTTGAACGAGTGGGGCCACATGGCAGACCTTCAAGTAGTCGGAGGTATCAAGAAGCTTAACAGTCAGAATTACAACACGTGGTCGACGTACATGGAGTCATATTTACAAGGCCAAGATTTGTGGGAGATTGTGAGTGGTAGTGAGGTTACACCATCGGAGGACTCTCCATCTTTGAAGAAATGGAAGGTTAAAGCTGGCAAGGCCATGTTCGCTATCAAGACCACCATTGAGGAAGAGATGCTAGAGCACATTAGAGATGCGAAGACACCGAAGGACGCATGGGACACATTCGCAGGGTTGTTCTCGAAGAGGAACGATGCGAGGTTGCAACTTTTGGAGAACGAGCTTCTATCCATCACGCAACGAGACATGACGATAAACCAGTATTTTGCTAAGGTAAAGTCTCTTTGTCGTGAAATTTCTAATTTAGATTCATCTGCTGGTATGTCAGATTCTCGGATTAGGAGAATAATCATTCATGGATTGAGGCAAGAATATAGAAGTTTTATTGCTGCTGTGCAAGGTTGGCCCACCCAACCTTCTCTCGTAGAGTTGGAAAATTTGCTAGCTGACCAAGAAGCGTTAGCTAAGCAAATGTTCCAAGCCTCATCCAAGAATGATGAAGAATTACTTTTCGTATAGAATATCAGAGGTCGACACAATAAAAATTGTCATTGGAGGAAAAGAAACGAAAATGACAAAAATGAAGACAAGAGGAGTTCTCATTTAGGGGGAGCACAAAGGAAAGAAAATTTGAGCAATCAACCTCAAGAATGTAGAAGATTTGAAGGGAAATGTTATAACTGTGGAAAGAAAGGCCACATAGCGAGGAATTGTTGGTCGAAGAAGAAGCCAGCAGAAGGAAATGCAGTCACGTCGGATGAGGCACACAAAAGTGATGATGAATGGGATCTTGAAGCACTGTCAACCGTAATTGAAGAAGAAGAAGTTGGTGAAGAAGTCGAGATGGCTTTAACGACAACGGTCGCTGAGCTTGACTCAGATGATGAGTGGATAGATAATTCTGGAAGCTCAAGTGACGAAACAGAAGACATGAAAGAGTTACCATATTCGATAGAATATAGTGAAGAGCGTCCGGTGACAGCTAACAACTTAATGCTGTCAATCTCCGACAGTGGTGAGAAAGAATCGGCTAAGAAAGTTAGAGTTAAAAGACAAGCTAACAAGTCATGGGCAAGTCAACGAGCATTGGATAAGAATAGAAGATCAGTCAAGTGTCAAGAGCCCACAAGCCCATAGATCAGCGAGAGTACGAGTACCAACCCAAAGCACACGAGGAAAATATTTACAGGCTCAAACTTATGTAAAGATGCGTTTCTCGACGTAAGGTGGCCGAAAACAACGAATGAACAATAAGTTGGTGTTGAGGGGGAGTGTTAAATTCAACACCTTATTTACAATGAAGCTTCTAGATAGACCAAGAAATTGGAGTTGCATAGATATTTTGAAAACTTAGAATATTAAATAAATTAGAAGTGTCATGATAGTTCTTGACTTGTGAAGCAACTCTTATGTCGGTTAAGTCACCGACTTTATTGTACTATAAATAGACATTAAAGTTATAATGTGGAGTGTGTCCAATGAGTGGTTTGTGAGAGTGTGTAGAAAAATATTGAGTGTATTATAATAAAATAATTAGTGTATTTTTTGTCTTAATAAATAAAGTATTTATCTTGGTCTATATTGTATTGGTGTAATTACTTTGTTAATATAATAAAGTAATTACGTTAGTGTCCACGTGTTGCGAGTGTACCCAACCTAACAGTTTACGAGGATATATGTTGTTATGAGTCGTAAAACGGAACATAAAATAAGCTATATAAAGTAGTCCAGTAACACCTGCAATTAAAGTAGTCCACCATTCCCCCACAAAAAATCCTTTTGTGTGTGTATACATGTATATACTTTTTAGTAGTCCAGTAATACCTGCAACTATCGTATTTTCAGTTTTTTTATTCTGTTTGAATCTTGAATTGTCTGCTCTTTCTATTTCTACATCTCTTTCTTCCCCCTCTTGCCACCATTCTATTTCTCTCCTAGCCTTTTCTCCATACGTTGCGGTCTTCTTTTAATAATACATATAAATTAGCTCTTAAACATTTATCTTTCTTTGTTTAGGATGATTTGGATCAAAAATGATGATTGATGCGACAATGGTGGAGCTTTTTGATTCTAAGTGTTGATGCATAGGTGGGAAGAACTTTTGAGCTGTTAGTTTGTAATTTTGCTACACATGTGACCTTTTATCTTTTTGAGTTTTGTCTTAGTTGGATCTGGGAGCCAAAAACTATGTTGGAAATATTTTGCTAGTAATGTGCTATGATTCCTGGAATATTACTTTTTTGGTGCCATTGCTTGAATGTAGAATGGTTTAAACTATGATACATACATTGTAACCATGACGTAGTATTTATGCACTTTTTAATGTTTTTACTACAGCTTTACGTCTTTGTGGTTATGATTTTAATATGTTTAAGATTTATAGTATATAGTGAGACTCATTGTTGATTGACACGAGAGCATTATACTGAAACCAAAATGTTAGGTTATTGTATTAAAACAATTTTATGTATTCTTTTATGCCTTTTCAGAGACATTTAAAAGTCATACTGAAAATACATGAAATTATATTAGGACATTTAGTTGTGTTGTTAAGTTATTTGAGGACATATTTTGTGTCTCAAGAAGTGTCACAATAGATGCATTAAATATATCAACCACTAGGAGACATTTACAAGTGTCATAAAAGATGATGCTAAAGACACTTTAAATATCCCAAGAGATTAATAACAAGACACTTATGGCATGATTGATAGGAAGCAGTGTTTTAAATAGCGCAATTTCGCGCCCTACGAAGCGCGCTATAGCGCATTTTTACCCAAAAACGCGACATAGCTTATATAATTTCGCGCAGTTCCAGAAAAGCGTACGCAATTTCCGCTATATTTTGCGCTATTTACGCAATTTACGCTATTTCTCACGCTATTTGGGTAATCCTTATTTATAGGCAAAAAATAAAAAATAAAATAATAAAATACAAAAAAATGTAGGGCACAAAATTGAGTAATTTCTCCCATGGCGAATTTGAGTGATTATTAAATCATGTTTCGTATTTCTCTTGAAAAAAAAAATTGAAAAATTGATATCAACATATCTAAGATTGATCTTTTGGACTATTAGAATCATGAAATGTTTATGTTTCTTAAACTCAGAAGTGAAATGAAAAGAACACTTCATTTTTTTCTCCAAATGATGAGGAGATGCAAGAATTTGATGAAATTGTACTAATAATTTTTTATAGTGAAAATATCCGTAACTTTGATAGAATTGACGATGATAGCCAAATTCAATTGGATAACACCGATCATTTTAAGATTTTGAGTCTTTATTTTAAACATTAAGGCATTGGTTGTTTGAAGAATTGATATTTGAATGTTATTTTTTAGATTGAATGTCCAAATTTATGGTTTAAGACCATTTTAACTATTTATTCGCTTGTATGGTTATATATTATTATTTTTAGCATTAAAAAAGAATTGCTCGAATAGCTTACGCATATTTTAAACATTAAGACATTGGTTGTTTGAAGAATTAATATTTGAATGTTATTTTTTGGATTCAATGTTCAAGTTTATGGTTTAAGACCATTTTAACTATTTATTCGCTTGTATGGTTATATATTATTATTTTTAGCATTAAAAAAGAATTGCTCAAATAGCTTACGCAATACGCTTCGCTATTTACGCTACGCAATATAAGGACCAAAACGCGACGCATTGCGCGATGCGCGTTTTAAAACACTGGTAGGAAGGAATGACATGAGAATGGAACGATCATTCCCTTACTCATTCCTAATCCCATGATTGGTATATTTTTTAGGAAGGACTGACCATTCCAACGGGAATGGCAAAACCCATCTCCATGGGATTAACCATTCCATAGTAAATGGAAGGTTTTCTCATTCTCATGTGCGTAGGAATCAACTTTTTAAAAAATAAAATTAACAATTAATAATAAAAAATAAATATATAATATATATTATAAATCATGATTAAAAGATATTAAATAAAATTATTTTTAAAAATAAATTCAAATAAAAAAATTAAAAACTTACTTTTATTTATATTTTAATTAGATATATTAAATACTTATATAAAAATAAAACTATAAAAAACATTTATATATATTTTAAAAATATATTAATTTATTTATATATATTATTAAAAATATATTATTTTTTAAATATTAAAAATGTATTACTTTTAAAAATATATTATTGAAAAATATTAAAAATATATATTATTAAAAATATATTACTTTTTATTTTTAAATTTTATTAAAAATATATTATTTTAAAAAATAAAATTCAAATAAAAAATTGAAAACTTACTTTTATTTACTGTTTAATTAAAAAATAAAATAGATATTATTAAAAATATATTACTTTTAAGAATATATTAGTTTTTATATATAATTTAAAGATAAATTATTTTATTTTTATATATTATTAAAAATATATTATTTTTAATATTATTAAACAATATATTATTTTATTTTTATATATTATTAAAAAAGCATTTATATATAATTTATTAAAAGTATATTATTTTTTAAAAAAAGCTTTTATTTATTTTTATAATAAAAAATGATAATGTCATTCCATTCCAGTCATATTCCTTC